AGAGAGGTTCCTTTATTTATGTCTGGAAAGAAGAGCTGCTATTAAGAAAGAGTGGTGTGCGAATGAACGGGTCGGTCATGTCAAACTGTCAATGTCATATACAAAAGTATGCTTTTGTTTACTTGCAATGTCTGTTTGAAGTGTGTGACAAGTAAATTACCTTCTAATTTGCATTTACATATATACTGGATCCAAATGCTAATTAGTAACCGTTCCATGGTTTGATGGTCTTTTGTACAAATGTGATTGGATTAAATCTGATGACATTACGAATGCAAATGTCAACAAATTTATTTTTCAAACTAGTTGACATTTTTCGTCTACCACCACATTCTTTTTGTTTATGGCTACCTTGAAAGACATATAAAAATATGCGGAAGACTACCAGCATAAAGGCTAAGGTTTTCTGTTGCTCTATGCACATACTGTAATTGAATGGATCAGTATGTATTTTCTTACAGTTCCATTACAGTTCCAGGGGAAATTTATTTCTAGAGTAAGAAAAGAAGAGAACTGACTATTCTGAAGGCTTCAGATAATACATTTATTGGAATATAATTGGCAACTCTATTGTGAAAATGCAACTCCACAGTGAATAGTTCGTTGAGTGTTTTTGAAGGAGATTAGATATTGTATTTGGTGCCTGATGTTCCAGCAGGCACAATCTGTTTAGCTAAACGTCTTTCATCATCATCAGATTTGCAGAATTATGAATTGAAGTGCAACACTTTAATAGTCCAGATACATCTTTATTCAATGTAAGGATGAGGGGACAGTATAGAAATATCCAACACATTTCAGGGACTCATACAAATACCCCCTTCATCAGGACTAAGAGAGAACAAAAGCAAAGATCTATATCAACAGACTATCACAGTACTGCTTCAGTATGGTGAACATTTGCATGAGATAATATAACAATGGTTAGTGCGGGATTAACATAGGGGCTATTGAAGTGCCAGCGCCAGGCACACCAATGAAAATGGGCCCACCTTGGTATGCAGCATAGCGAGGTGATCCAAGCTGGCTGGCCGAACACAATCAGGCAGAGGCAGCGATTTAGTCAGGCAAATTAAGTGAACGCTCGCTGGGGCCTCACGACCATGCGGCGAGGCCCCAGCAAACGGCTGCCTATTTAGGAAGCTGCTTCTACAGTATATAGTATAAAGGGAGCCTGGTAATGAGGGAGCCCAGTACAGGATGCGGATCACCTACTGCCTTTTCTCCCCCCAACAGTAGCTGAGTACAGATACTGGCAGTTGATGTGTGAGGACAGATGCTGTCTCTCCTCTCTCTCTCTGTCCTGGCTGTCTCTCCTCTCTCTCTCTCTCTCTCCTGGATGTATAATGCTGCATTGCTGTATAATGTATTGCTGGGATTTGTTGTCCTTTATAGCTGATGGTATTCTGCATTGCTGTATAATGCATTGCTGGGATTTGTAGTCTTTCTATAGATTGGAGTCATTCTGCATTGCTGTACATTGCATTGCTGAGATGTGTTATGGTGAAGGCGTGGGTTGGATTCTGTGAAGGTGGCACTGGATAGCTTCAGGTTCCACCTTCATTGAAACATCAGCCATGCTGGGCCATCCCAAAATACAAATAAGCCTCAGGACAGGCCTGTTTAAGGAGCTGCTGGAGAAAGAATTAATGAAGATATAGCTACTCACTTCACATAGTATACTAGCCAGATTCTTATTACTTTATCCTTGAGCAGCTTAACCTCCCTGTCGGTAATCCCGAGTCTGGCTCGGGGTGAATTTTCAATGCTAGGAGCGGTAACCCCGAGCCAGACTCGGGGCTGCAGAGAAAAGTGACACTCTGACACTCACCTTGTCCCTGCGATCCCGTGGTGGCGTCTGCTGTACGCGGCCCGAAAATGAAACTAAAAGCCGGCATCTGACTTTTTTTTTTTTAACAGGTAAAAACTAACTCAACCACGTCCCTTATCTCCCCCCCCCAACTCCCGAAGTCACAATCCATCTCCACAATCCATCTCCCTCAGATCACCCCTCAGACGATGCAGGCGGGAGCACGGTCTCTCCACTCGGGCCCTCCAGAGTGAGGCCCCTAGCCGCCACCCAATCCCCCCAGACCCGATCAAATTTGCGAACACAGTTTCGGCTCATATAAGTTAGTCTGTATATCAGAAGCATCCGGTCAATCGTGCCCAACCATTGTCCCACCGTAGGAGGGGAGGGCAGCTTCCACCTCAGAATAATTTCCCCTACGGGCGTAAAAAGCCACATGGAATATAAGAAGCTTTGTTGCCTTAGGAGCCTGCAGCGTCTCTCCACAGCCCAGTAGAAATATCAGTGGGTCCATGTCAAGCTGATGTCCGGACACCGCGCTTATCTAGTGCACCTTGCATCAACGTTGGGGTAGATTTTAGCCAGCCTAGTTGGGGTGTAGTAGGCCCTATGTAGAAATTTAAGCTGGATAAACCGCTCCCTGGGGGAGATCACCGTGGAAATGTAATTCTGGACACAATCCTCCCAAAGATCCTCTGTCAGGGCAGGTATGTCGGCCTTCCACTTCACATAGAGTGGTATCAGCTGGGAACCCCCCTCACATGTCAGCCTAAGGTATGAGAGGTTTTCGTATCCCCTTTGACCTGAGGAATCGCTCAAACCGTTCCGAGTCAACCCTTATCATTATAATTATTTATTATATTATAATTTCTTATAATTATTTATAATTTATTATATTATAATTTTTTAATTTCGTGTTTCAAACTTTATCATACCTGGGATGTCTACTGGACTCTTGTTTGGACAGATTTAGGTGAGTTATTCCTAAGATTTACTAAGAATTACAGGCCTACAATATAAACAACAAATTTCCATGCAAAAAATTGTACCGCTTTTGGTACAAAATTCCTGACATAATCATACCGCCAGGGAGGTTAAACAGGCCTGTCCAGAAGCCTGCTTCTATTTCAGGATGGCCCAGCATGGCCAATGACTATTGGGGCGCTGTAAAGCTTTCTCGCACAGGGCGCCTAAAGGCCTAAGGCCGGCCCTGTGTGGAGGCACCGCTGGATCACCTGATTCTGTGGAGACAGCGCTGGATCACCTGATTCTGTGGAGGATTCGCTGGATAGGGCAGAGGCAGGCAACAGCAGAAACTGGCCGCAGGAGGAAGATAATAGAATTCAGATATGCACATAGAATACTACGCCATGTCGGAACTACCAGGGTCGCAGAAGTTGCAGCTGTGACTGGGCCCTGGCGTTCCGCAACTTGGGTGACCCAGACAGAAGGAAGAGGGCCCCAGTAACCACCGACATTGTATTTCCTTAGTAAGGCCCAACAAAATCCTCACCACCAGACCCATGATGCCCTTAATCCGGCCCTGGCAGTGGTGCCAATAATGTATCAAATTATGAGTATTCTGTAGATAAAGATTTTGTTTAATGTTAATGTTTAATGTTTAAATTATTTCATTTATTTGCATGTAAAGTGCAAATAAATTAAAAGAAAATAAAAAAATAAAAATCATAATTATATTAAACTTTAGATAAAATGGTGATTCAAATAATAAATACTACTTTTATTACCATTTGAATTACCATTTCTAAGTAAGGTTTAATACAAATATGTTTCAATTTTATTTTGGTTTATGAAATTATACCAATTCACCTTCCACAATATTTTAAAACAATCAATTCATTATTAGAAAAATACAGAGATTTTTTTTGTGGTCTCCTAAATGTATTTGCACTTTTAGTTCCACATAGCTTTTATCTACAGAATATTCATAATTTGATATATTATAGGCATGATGTTGTATTATCCATGCAAATGTTCACAAAACAGAGGCAGTACAGTGATAGTCTATTGATATACTGTAGATACTTTTGTTCTTTGCTATCCCTGATAAAGTTTAGACATGCTATCTGTGTTATTTTTGGGGCAGTGGAACTAAATGAACAACAACAAAAAAATACTTTTTAAAGTTCGCCCCACCCCCCCCATGTCAGATTTAGGGGTCCTGACATGTAAACTATTTTTTTTTTTATTAGCAACAAAAACTTTGCACCAAACAGCACTGAACAAATAGTGGTGAATGCAAATGTAAAGAAGAACTCTGGGCACAAATTGTATTAACCCTGCAATGGGACTACCCCAGCAGTGCAAGGGTTAACGTCTCGTTTTTGCCTAGGGTAAAAAAAGGGTTGTTTTTTTACCTGGCTCCTGATCCTTGGAGCTGGCCAGCTCTCCAAGGATCAGGAGACGATCAATTCCTAGACCAGTCCCTGGAGCGATTCTCCCTCTACATTGCAGCAGTGTAAGGTCTCTGGGTCATCATGTCCAATACAATAAGTATTGTTGGATATGAAGACGAGGAGGGACCTACCATCGCTGCAGCATAGCAGGAATCAGGCTGGTGGGAGCGCTGCTGGCTCTGAGGATCGGGTGAGTATAACTTTTTGTTTACAATAGGCAATAATGAGCAGCTAATCCTTGCAGTGGGGGGGGGGGATAGCCCCACTGCTAGGGTTAATACAATTTGTGCCCAGAGTTTAAAGACAAAAACAATAACAGAGACTAGCCCAACTATTAAATCCAATGTAACACTAACTATGTATTACTGTAAGGCACTTAGCTTGCATATACTGTAATAAATATGATGTTGTCTAACTTTTTTGTAACTGCTAAGTGCAGCAGCATAGGTTAATATACCCTGTCCTGGCAGCATATAGGAGTTGGACAGCAGCTTTCTTACACAAAGCATTGGCCTGGCTCTCCAGCGGGTTCAACACTCTGATTCCAAAAACCACTCCAATCAACAGTGCTGTATCTTTCAAAATCACAGTTTATCACTCACAGTATCACTTTGACAATACTTTCTTCCTTCATTGCCTGTGTATTTGACAACCAATGACATTAGGAGAAAAGCAGAGAAGCCATGTATTGGGTTTAGGTTCTGAAGCTGTATTAGATGCATGTTAGGTTCTTTATAGAAAATTAAACAACAAAATGTTTCTGTTTTTCACAGATACACCAAGATGAAGACAGCAACCAACATTTACATCTTCAATCTTGCCTTGGCTGATGCACTGGCAACCAGCACTTTACCTTTTCAAAGTGCCAAGTATCTCATGGAGACCTGGCCATTTGGAGAAATCCTCTGCAAAGTCGTATTGTCCATAGACTACTACAACATGTTCACTAGTATTTTTACCCTGACTATGATGAGTGTGGATCGTTATGTAGCCGTGTGCCATCCCGTGCGAGCATTGGACTTTAGAACCCCCTCAAAGGCCAAAGCTATAAATGTTTGCATCTGGATTTTGTCATCTGTTATTGGAGTGCCCATCATGGTTATGGCAGTTACCAAAACAAATAAAGGTAGGCGAGCTTTAGTGTTGTCTGTACACTGTATTATGCTGAATGTTAAATACCTATTATTTACCCTGTAGTTTGCCAATGCAGATTTCCTTTAACTTAGTCCTCCCAGGCAGCATATTCTTTTTTTACTTTCACTACTCCATCACTCTGTTAAGCTACTAAGACAACAATACATACATGTATTATACCATATTTTAACTTTCCTATTGAATAAAATAAAATCGTTTTATAAAACTATGAGATTATACCAATTATACATTTAAAAAAAAGGAATGATAGGCAACATTTATGATGACCTATGCACTGTATTACTTCAGTTATACTTTAAGATTGGGTAATGTGAAAAATTTGTAGCATACCTTTTGTTTTTTGTACATTTAATAACAGGATGTAAATCAGTTACTAACAAGTTTCTATCTCTTCAACTTCTACAGTTGGCAGCATCACTTGCATGCTTCAATTTCCTCGCCCTGATTGGTATTGGGATACCGTTACCAAAATCTGTGTCTTTATCTTCGCTTTTGTGATTCCAGTCTTGGTAATTACAGTATGCTATGGGTTAATGATCCTTCGCCTTCGCAGTGTACGCCTCCTGTCTGGATCAAGAGAGAAAGACCGCAACCTGCGCCGCATAACCCGTATGGTTCTAGTAGTGGTGGCTGCCTTCATCATCTGTTGGACACCCATCCACATCTTCGTTATTGTGTGGACTATGGTGGAAATTGACAAGAGGAATCCTTACGTTGTGGCGAGCTGGCATTTCTGCATTGCCCTGGGATACACCAATAGCAGCCTGAATCCAGTGCTTTATGCCTTCTTAGATGAAAATTTCAAGAGATGCTTCCGAGATTTCTGCTTTCCCTTCCGCTCACATGCTGAACAGAGCAGTTTCAGCAGAGCCCGTAACACTACCCGGGACCAAGTATCCACTTGCGCCCAGTCACATGCTCCAGACAAGCCAGTATGACTAGACATGGATGGCCGAAGGAGAGGCTCCCGAGGCCGCCGAGTAGAAGATCTGAACTCAGAGGTCACTCAGGTTACCAGTACCACTGAATTTTAGCAGTAGGTACTTTGGGCCTAGCTTTATGTGCTGTTCGAGAATACGAAGGTATTGTGACACTTTCCTATGATAACCATTGTGTTCTAGACTTCTTCAAATTCCTTCAATCTTTTCCAACAGAGCAGACAATCAGACTCTTTTTACACAAATGAATCTTGACTCTAAGCTTCAGCTGTAGCTGGAGTGGTAAAGAGTTTACTAGTGATATTGCTACCTAGATATCTTCCATAAAATTTAATATTTGACTGTAGTTCATGCTGTGAACAAATGTCCAATCATTGAAAGCGTTGACAGTTAAAGCAAATCCAGTGCATGGACTACAACATTTTCCTACTAATCTCAGTTATGACATGTCTGTTTTGCCTTGAGCTGACACTCTCTACATACTCAAAAAAGGGGTTTCTTCTTTACCGAAAATCTTCAAGACTTGTGCAGAATGAAGACGTTCTTCAGGCGTTATTTGATTGTCTTTGATGTCTACCAGGTCTTGCTATACAAGGCCTGTTATGGCCAGAACAGGACAAAACACCCTATTTAAAACGGGAAAACTGCATCAGAAAAAAAAAAGCTTCTTAGAAAGTAGAGCCTGAAAAATCTAAATGTGATTTTTTTTCCGAAAGGAAGCAATAAACAACATGCACAAAGAACTTGCATTCTCTTATGAGGAACATATTGAATACAGAAGAATCTTCTTAGTCTTTGACTCTATACATGACTGACTTACTGCCACTCCATAAAGATTTCACAAAAGCAACATAGAATTCCATTATATCGCTATATATATATATATATTTATATATTTTATCTTTCTATAACAAACCAAGCATTTGGAAGCTATAAATCACAGAATGGCTATGGAACAAGACATCAACTTTGATTGATGTTGTTACTAAGTTCTGTTACCTGGTAATTTGTACTGTGTCCCTTAAAGGGATATTTTGGAGTGCTGACAGAGTTCTAGTTTATGTAAATTAGGTGTAAATTATGTCAAGATCTATTAAAATTAGAGAAAGTGATGATGACATTGCTGTGTAATATTCCAACATAAATAGTGTGGAGATAGATAGATAGATAGATAGATAGATAGATAGATAGATAGATAGATAGATAGATAGATAGATAGATGTACATATTTCTACAAACTTGCCTATGTACAAAAATGTGCATACATAAATTATGAATATTTTATATAAATTATTTATGAATATTATATTATACTGGTGATACTGTCTAAACAACCCCCACTTAAAATATTTCTGCTCGCTCCCCTAGCTTTTAAAAGTTATCAGGAAGATATGTTTTGATATAGCAATTGCAGTGTTGTTATACCTTTTTGTACCCATTTCTTTAATAAGCACTGTATAGAAACAGCAGTGTATTTCAGTTGAATGCCATTTGCACAAAGTCGATAACGGTGCTTGAATAACAAGTATTACATTTTCAAGCAACTTTAATCCTTCAGTAGCCTCTACATTTAACTTCTTGCAGATACAAAGTACCAGGATCCAAGAATGGTAGATATGATTCCCTGATAGATCATTACTGCTCCACTCTGGGGGGGTTTGAGTTCACCAACCTTCAGCACAACTATTTGTGTCCTGCTCTTATTTTGGGTGAAGTTGTTCTTTAAAGGGAATTTGTCACTTATGTACAGGCCCATCACAGAGATAAACTACATTCTTTAATGACAGTGGTCACTCTGACAAATCACATGCTGGTTTTGAGTTCAGCTTCACTACCCTGGCATTTTTATCTAGGCCAGAAGACCAAGAGTGGCTGTTTGAACTGTAGACTGTACTATGTTTCTGAAAAATGTCTGTTCACATGGGAGCTGAAACTGCTGACTTGATTTTAAGGTGCATGCTCCAGAATTATTATCCTGAATTCACTCCCCAGTGTGTTACTGACGTAGAACAAGCAAGTGCAAGTTAGATGCCCTGACATCTGTCAGGCAGGTGCACATTCAAGCTCAGTGACCCACAGAGTAGTCAAGCAGGGATAAGAATAACTGCTCTGGATCATGTACCTTTACAGGAAAAATGAACTCTGAAAGCTGTGTTGAAAGAAAGTAGGCAGAGCTCTTTGGACTAGTTACCAGTATTGCCTCTAGTCTTCATGCAGCTGATTTTTTGCCATCACTGAAAGAATTCTGTTTTTGATTTTTCTTTACAACGTGAAGTTTCACCACATTCACTAAGCTAAGGGAAACTTCCCCTGCAAAGTGCAAATTCCCTTGCAAAGTGAACAGCCTATTTGCCTTTAGTAAATCAATCCTTATGTCTCTATGTGGACGCTACTATTTTGCTAGAGGCAAAGCTTTGCTTCCTTATGCGGGAGCCTCCAGCAAGAAGAACTGTGAACAGCACAGTAGTACAATCACCAACTTCCACTTTAAATCAACCTGAGACTAGCTGTCAGAGACAGCCGTGTCCTAGATCTCACACTGCAGTTGTTCAGCTATGAGGCTGAAAACACAGGTGTGCCTAGGCACAGTTACAAGTGCTCTGCTAATTTCAGGAGGGATTCAAGACAGAAGATAATTATTTTCTGAGTTCTGCTTAGGCACAAATAACACACTCCGTAAATGTTTCCTATACCTTAGCAAATCTTCACTTTTCGAGTTCAGGTCCACTTTACCCAGTTCAGCTCTTACACCTGTATACCTCTTATGGACCAGGGCAATTTTTATTTATTTAGTCGGTATTTAACGGTAAGTTTGTCATTACTATTACTAAGTAATAAAAAAAGGGGGAAAATTGCTTTTTTGGAGATAGTGTTTTGCAAATATTATTTTATTTTCGATGCAAACCATAGACAAAAAACATAACAAAACTAATAAATGCGCTTTTTTCCTTTATGGCCAGTGTTAGTCTAAAAAAAACTGCTACTGTAGATAAAAAAAGTATAACTTAAATTCTATAATTTGTCCCATTTATAATGACACAAAGATTATGATTCTGGTAAAAAGCATTGCAAAGTTATTTACAAATTTAATAAAGGTATTTTTGTCCAATTTTGTGAGGCTTTTAATGTGATACAGAAAGTTAAGAAACAAAATGGATAACAACATAAAAACAAGATAACTATTTATGATTTAAAAAATAGAAATTAAAAAAAACAGCAGGAGAATAATAACCAAGGGGAGAAGGTTAAGAAGCAGTTTATTAGAACTGATAAGGGTAATCAGTTCTAAGAAGGACAGGACATAATACTACTCCCTGTTCACTTCCATGAATTTTTTTATGAGTGCATGTAGCACATCCAATGTCCACAAGAGGTTAAAACCAAGTCAGCGAAGGCAGTTTTCATATTTCTATCTTGACAGGCTCCTTTGAAAAAAACACTCGAACCTTTATTATATCAGATGAAAAATCTTTATCTGTGCCCTTTGGAACAGGTGACAGATGCTTGATTTTAAGACTGGAATAGCGCTGCCACTGATAATAGGCCCATACAGATTTGCTTGGTTGGGAATGTTAGATAACTGCAAAAGGATAAGTAGATTTTTTTTTCATTTTTTCCTGCTTAACTGTGTATTTCACTGCAATTCTCCTATTCTGCCACACATATATCCACCTATTCCACAAGTCTGGCTAAAACATTTGTGTGCCATTTGAGCTCCAGCGTTGCTTTCTGCATTGCATTCTCAGGGCTGGGTATGTTATTGTGTAAACATTGTTTAACTGTCAGCACATTTGCTCTCCATCATTATTGAGTATGTGTATTTATGTATTTAGGCATCTATACTTGTTTGACTCTAACCTTATGTTACACTGCTTGGCTTTCTTTCTCTTCTACCTACTAGTCAAACTAGCAATGTATCTACATTGAAACAACTGTTTTTCATGCAATCAGCATCCTGAACATTTTGTAAATTCAATAGCTATATCACAAATGTATTAATTCTACTCTACAGATTTCATTGACCACAAAACACTTTTGGGCTAGTGCCTAGGGCAGCAGGGTTAGAAGTCACAAAATTATAAACTGAGACAATTTTATTATTTTTTCCCTCTGCTGGCAACCTCTTGATATCTGTTTAAATTCAGCAGAAATACTGTAGGGAGAAGGGGGTGCTGAAAGTAGTCAGAAGGCTTGCCATGGTCAGGAAATAGAAACCCCTCTCTCCTATCACATTTGTTGGTCTATAGAGTTAAAATGTTGCTGTGAAAGTAAAAAAAATAATATGCTTCCTCCAACAGCACATTCTATCATTAGATTTACTGACATAATCACATGACATAGGGGGCAGAGCTTTCCAAAAAGTCTGCCATCATCAGGTGTGCCTAGGGTGGCGTGGTGTCTCATTATAGCTCTGTTTCTATGATCACCTGCTGCAACTTGCATACTAGAAAAAGTTCAGTATTAGAACCAAGCTATTAAAGGCAAGCCCAACTGATCTGTCAGTTTAATTCACCTAAATACATTGGGGGGGATTTATCAAAACTGGAGCAGACAAAAACTGGAGCAGATGTGCATGGAAACCAATCAATTTCTCTCTTCAGTTTGTTTAGTTAGTGAAAGAGAGAAGCTGATTGGTTGCCATGCACATCTGCTCCAGTTTTTGTTTGCTCCAGTTTTGATATATTCCCCTCATTCCTTGTGCATTAAAAAAAAAGTTGTACAAAGTCTTACAGTTGGTTTGATTTACCCCTGCCAGTATGTCCAAAGAAGGACCCATGCTCTCTGCCTAAAAGCAGAGGTCTCACATGCCCCCCACCAAGCCAACGAAAAAGCTTCGATGGTTGCACAGTTGTAGCTCTGACTAAGCAAGGCCCGTGTCGCACCTTTGCAGAGAGACCACTGCTTCCACACAGAGCACAAGGGTCCTTCCCTACAGCAAGTATACAGGGGCAGGCTTTTTTACTCAGGCTATGACTGCTTTCTAAAGCAGATAAATTCTAAGACTTTTTATAACTTTTGTCTTGATGCACCTCAAACGTATATAGCTGATTTAAACTGAAAATTCGGTTAGACTTTAAGATTATGATGGTTTAGGTGAGAAGGAGCCATGAAGCTTTACGTAAATACTGTGAAATGAACATCTTACAAAGCAATGCCAACCTTCAAAGAATTCACTGTAAAAAGTACCAGGCTAATGAACTCCTTTGTGATTCAGAAAATGGTATATGGGTAGAATGTGAGAACCAAAACATTTTTATTCAGCTCAGAGAAACCCTGGTGAAAATGTATCGATCTTCAGAATAAGCTGCTTTGTTAGCAAGATCATTAGAACGTCAACAAAAACGATGATAACAAAGTAAAGGTGCTGTGTACAGAAGTCTCCGGTGCGTACTAGAAAATTGTACCT